AACAACGAGGGAAAAAGCTATACGGAAATAAAAAAGTGAAAAACCTATACGGCGATAGTAGACTACATTATAAACAGCAGATCATCCTTTCCATATGAAGTATAATTTGGGGTTATTTTTAACCATAAAATTGTTTTTACCGTTTCTTAAACTATTACTTCTATTAGTGAATTACCTTTTGAGCATAAGAAGGATATTTTGTGACTTCTCCAGTAAAAAAAAAAGGGATAATGTGGATGATTATAATCAAGTATCCATTCACTGAAATGATTACCAATATCGTATCCTCTGAATCAAAAAATAACAAATATTATAAAAAAGTTTGACAAGGTAAACAAATTTAGAAACGTTAAAAATAAGAAAAGTTGAAATGTTTTGATGAAACAAATATTCAAAATTTTCTAAGAGAATGATAAGCAGCGGGTTGCAAAGCATTATGGGTACAAATTGGTTGGTTTTTGACAGCTCTTCCCCCATTGCTCAATTGTTGACTGCTTTAAGTGATCAAACGAAAATCTTGCTATTATAATATTTGACAACTCTACGCAGCGCGAACATGAAATAATATTCCTTTCTTCCTTCCTCATTTGCGGTTTAAACGAAAATTATCCTTCTCTCTTTTTTTTCACCTGTAGTTATAACAAGAATATTCGAAATAAATCACACGAATTTTTGCCTCATCGAGATCTTCATTTGCTTTCACCAACAAGTTTCCTGTAGGTATTTAAATTATATTTAACCTTTATTAAAAACCCATAATATTCACAATAACCTAGTTGGAAATCTTTACCTGGTTGTACGTCATTATGGCAGATTAAAACTGGTGATTGGCTGTTTTCAACCACGTGCCTAACACATCAACAACAAAATAACAAAAATGTTAGCAACACTTGATCATAAAATATCTGTTGAGTACATAAGCATTTCCAGTTAATAAACTTTGTATATATTTTAGGCATGACTTTTCAGTAGTTTAACTAATGAATGAAAACAATAGATTTTTAAACAAGTATACTCTACAATTCACATAAGAACAAATCAGTCAAGTGTTTATTTAATAAAATACTTTGAGACATTAATTGACTGTGGTTGGTTAACTGTGTGTCCAAATGAGTAAGGAGCTACACGTTATACAATTGCTTCAGTATAATGTTCTTGTTTGTCATAATTTTTAAATAATTGCTACGTAGTCCAAATGCTTCGTAAAAAAAAAACAAGAAAAATAAGAAGCCATAGTTATTCTATCATGACGTCGATATTTAATCTCTATTGAGGTGAATTTCGTTCGATTCTCACAATTAGTTCGAGGAAGTCCAAATTGAAGTTGAGTAATTGTCTTTTATTGTCGATCTCTTTCAAATCACATCATTCTCATCACAACTCATTCCTCTCTCAGTTCTTTTTACTGGAATGTGCTAACATTCACGACATTATCAGACAAGGAGCATGCATTTTTTAACATCATTGTCAGACTATGACTAGTAGTATAGTAGTAGTAGCAGAAACAAAGAAGGACAACACAATGCATACGTCTGTAGCTACGTATAAAAATAAGCATTCATTTATCATGTAAGAAATAGAAAATATTTTCCGTGTTTCTACACGCGAGAAAGTTTGAGAGAAACAAAAAGTTGCGTGGCAAGCACGAGCACGAATTGCGACGGCGAGTGCTTCCGAACAATTTTGAGTTGCTCAAAAACTTTCACAAGTACGTATTTCGATAACTCAATGGAAACAAGTAAATATGTCTTTTATTACATTATAAAATAGCCTATTAAAGTAATATTAAAAAGACAAATTTATTGACATGTTGTTTGAAAAATTGTCTCATTAAAAGTTTCCGCACAAATCATGCAATCTGCGATATTTTTACGAGACTGTAATAGAGTTTCTGAAACACGGGCTTTTCGGGCATTCAACCAATCAGCGCCCGTGTCTTCAAAAAGTATTTTGTAAATTTGTATTAAAAATACCAGAAAAGCAAAGACTAAGGAAACTTTAAAAAGAGAAAACCGTCTGTATCATCTACTTTTCTAGCTAATCCTACATCGTACGTACGCTCACTCAGTCACAATGTGTGATCTCAACTATAATCACAAAATCATGTTAATACCTCACCTGTAGACACACTAGCTCCAAAAAAGTTCTCCCTCCATGTGACTTTGCCGTTTCTCCCCAGTCCCCATGACCGTTCTGTGTTTGAGTAACTGACGTTATTTATAAACTGAGTACTTACCATTATTGCATAGTGACATAAATAATAAAAACGACACGTCAATAATTGTACTGAAAAGATTTAATTTGCATCCACTTGACAATAAAAATATTTCTCTGGCAATAACGCAAACACTATAGCTAGATATCGTAATTAAAGAGCTCATTGAACTTTAGGAAATTATATTTCAAACCACAAAACAAAACAGGACGTCTGTAGAAGCAAATGTTTTTAGCTAGCAAAGGTTTTTAGCTGCGAATCAAATTAATACAAAGAAGGTGGACATTTATTAATTATTAACTGTTAATTATTATTATGTTATGTGTTATAGGAAGACATATTCTAGTGCTTAATGATTTATATATGAGTTTCGTCTTAATGTGTTAGGTATCACAAAAGAGATAGTTAATGTGAACAATGCTTGTTCACCAATAAACCAATCTTTCCATTATCATAAAGCAAGAAAATATTTCTACAAGCTTCTAGGAGTTAAACAAAAATCGGCTTTTATGGCATTTAAACATGCCCAAAATATCGGAAAAGTGCTTTTCTATGTAATTTAGGTAAATTGAACACAGCTGCATGTGCAAAATATAATTTATTCTTCATGATGGTGGCTATATAATTGTTGCCAAAAACGTTTTTCAAACATAACGTGTTTTCTTTCTTTTGCGCAAGATGTTGATGCGTGTTTTTGTGAGTTTTCTTTTAGTTGCTTGCTGCAATGCATCAAATAATGCTTGTCAAAGTTCACAAAGTGTTTTCATAAAGACAAAAGACAACGGTATGTTACAATATAACAAAGAATATAATTACATAAATGAATTTAAGGATATAAAAAACTCGTATGTTTTAAAACGCGTATGTTTTAAAAACCATTCTTTTGTTTTATTGACTTAACGCGAGGGAAACATATTTTTCGTTGAACCTTTAACAAAGCTCGAGGTCTTCACAGAGATAAATCCGACCGAGGGCTTTTTAGCTAAATACAGAGACCGTACGGCGAGGTTATCTACTCAAACACTAAAATCCAATATTTAACGGTAATGACCGTTACGAGGCTTATTACATGACTTGAAACAAAGCTTTCTATCTAGCTTTGTTGGTCTTTAGTTTGATTTGCCAGTAAAATAATTTTTTTGAAATTGTGTCATCACATCTAAATAATAAAACTTACTTCTCTTGTGTCTTTAATTTCTTCGACTCATTTTCGTATATTGCTGCGTTCAATGCCGAAACTTGTGTAAAAAGTTTGGTAATTCATCGGACAGATATATAGTTATAAAGTTTATTAGTTTTGTTAATCAGAAATTTTATCTGCCACCACTCACGCTTAATAAAAATCATGCAGTTTTGCAAGCATAACTTTACACTTTTGCAGTGACATATAATTGGAAATACTATAAAACTATACGCCGAAAGGTTTGGGCTCAGTTAAGTTTATTTATAGAAAGCGTCTTTATATAGTGCAGCCCAAGAATTTTTTTGTTAACTACAGGTGAAAAACGTATAATATTCTTAATTTCTCATCTTTATGTTTGTGTTACGGAATCTATCTCCCGTCTAAGGTTGATATTGAATTTCTACATCTAACAACGCAAACATTAATTCATCAATCATTACAAGTACAAACAACTAACTATACGTTGATAAAAACGTGAGCCTAATTCACACGATATTAGGTAATCTGGGCTTTTAACCCTGGTTCAAATGTGCCCTGTATGTCTTTTTTGCGCGTGATCACCATTAACACAGGTTTGACCTGGGTTTAATTCATTCCACTTCTTGATATGGGTGGAGTCAAACCGAGGTTAAACCTGGGTTTTAATGGTCAGCAAACGCAAAAAAATAGCCCGTGTGAATTTGAATCTTCGTTGAACTCAGGTTTGTTTATTTCAAATAAATTATACACGAATAAAAACACGGTGTAATAAACATGCACAATAATGTGAATATAACTATACAAAGATATGATCAAAGAATTTAATGTTGCAAACTAACGATAAATTGACACTATTGGCTGCTTTCGCTGAGCTTTCCTCAGTAAAATTAAACGGAGTTTACACATAACATGTTGACACGTCATGCATTTGTTAAAGAATTTGCAGGGCTTTATCTTAAAATTTTTAATGATTTGTAATCAGATTTTATATGCACGAGTACAAAACCCTGCCAGTTGTACTTCTTAAAATAATGGAACACTGAAATTATGAAAATTTTCCCAACAAATTCCTGAAACTTGCCCGACTAGTCCAAAGCTTGTGAAAGGTTGGAGAGTTGTCTCACCCACCCTCCCTCATACCCTGACAGAAGTTTCAGGAATTTTAAGACGCTAGACATTAAAAACATGTTCATATCTCATTTTTGAATTAACGCAACAAAAGTCTTTATATTTTTGCCGTGTGGATTGCATGTTATGAACGAAATAAGTTCCTTTTTCATGTTTATATGATTGTTGTCATGAAAATTACTAAAAAATCTACTGATGACGATTCATACGCAACATACGATTTGGCAAATTTAGGACAATATCGTAGCTACCATTGTATCATCCCGTCTATGTAATATACGTACTGAATTTTTTTCGTTTTCGTTTAATTATAAATGATGATTGGTTACTTTTGAGAAACGAAGATAATTCTTTTGCTTCCTGTCTCACTGAATTTTGTAAATTTTAATTTCATTATGTATATACTGACTAGAAAATGGACTTTGTTATCTTTGTGCATAATTTACACCTATTGTAATGTACTCTGTTTTGTTCTTTATTTTAAGGTGAGATTCTTTCACCGAAAGATATCATTTCAACTCATGCTGTTCCCAATCATATTGAATGTTTCAGGAAATGTCATCAACAGAAGCTATGTGTTGGTTTCAATTTCTTATTTGATGCAAAAGAACATGAGATAAACTGCCAAATTACTAACATGATAACAGACAGCAATTTAACGAAAGTTGCCTCAGAAGGAAAATGGACTTTTTATCAAACTCAACTACCGACGGTAAGAATAAAGAAATTAGCTAGTTGATTGTAAAATGTTTCTTAAGTGGGCATTTGCGTTAATTTTAAATAATTTATAATTCACGCTAATTTGCTCTAGGTAAGTGTTGTGCAAAACTATATTAAATCTGACTTAAAGTTCTTTTAAAAAGAAAACTTTGCTCATTTTTTGTTAGCCTGATCAAGTGTACGTTTTTGAAATCATCTTCTTGCAAACCCTCATACTATCCTACCGACATATTTGTATTTCTAGGTCTTCTTTTGGTCTGCATTGATTAGAGCATATTGGATTAAAGCAATGCATGATAAATATTACTCTTTCTTGCATTTTTAATATAATGTAATATAAAATACCAACATCATTTTGAAAATATAGCTGGTGGAAAATTATGTACTTATTACATTTATATTGGCAATGAAATGGAGTTTCGTTTGTCTGTTGAAAAAAAAAAATTCTACTTTAGCGAAGACAGTAAGGCGTGTTGAAGAATCTTGCACATGAAAAGATTTGTGTTATTCCTTTATTAAGATATATATATAAATGATTACTGAAATGCTCACTAAGTCTTCATCAATAAAAACATCAGTTGATGTTTAGAATCAGTTAATATCATTCAATTTGTCTGCTTAATTGTCAATCATTTATATTAAAAATATGATAACATTACCTAATTAAAAAGTTGGGCTTCAATCTAATAAAGAATATTGTCTTTAAATCGGAACGGTGGTTCATTAGATAACTTTTCCACGCCTGTAGCATCCTAAATAATGTTTAATAATAATATTAACTGATTTATGCATGGAACTGTGCATTGGTGAATTTCTAATATAAAATGTAAAATTCAAAAATGTTCAAGTGTGATTTTGCTTCTACTCAATTTGACCATTTTAAACAGGTTTTGTGTTCTTTTAATGAAAGTTTACGGTAGGAGACGTTGAATTCATCTACTATTTTAACAAGCCATTATTACCAACCGATCTATTTAAATATGCATCATGTACGTTCAGACAGCCGAACGATAACTGACAATATTAGAAGATAAATTTGTTTTCTACAATAAATCAAACACGCCACAGGTCACAGAATCACTATAAAATAAATTGATCCTTTAAGTTACTGAAATTCTCTTGATTTCAAAGATAAGAATTCAATTGTAATGATCTTGAGTCAATTTTAATGCTAATTTGTGTTTACATTTAATTATAAAATGTACAAAATAGTTATTTTAGCACAATGGATATATGCGCAGGAAAGCTGTGTAACAATTTGCTTATAGGATTAATGAGTTACAAAACCCATAAGACGTACAATGCAATAGCATTTTAATAAAACTTTTTTTCAGGTAAAAGACTGTGCAGATCTTTACAAGAAAGGTGAAAAAAAGAATGGAGTTTATGAAATTGATCCAGATGGCCAGGGCAGATTCAGTGTCTTCTGTGATATGACGTCATCTGGTGGAGGTTGGACTGTGCTTCAAAGACGTCAAGATGGAAGTGTAAACTTCTATCGAGGTTGGAAAGACTATAAACAAGGTTTTGGTGATCTGAAAGGCGAATTCTGGCTTGGATTGGATAAAATATACCGACTAACATCAGCCAGGAGAAATAAACTTCGTGTAGACCTGGGAGACTGGTCAGGAAACAAAGCATATGCTGAATGTGATTATTTTGCTGTAAAGAATGAAACACATAAATATCAGTTGAGTCTTGGTGCATATTCTGGTGAGTCAATACGTAAATATAAACGGAGAAATTTCTAAGCGTGATTTTGACACATGCTAAATGTTGGAATGATTTGAGTGAGTGCAGTTGCGAAGAGAGATTTTTTGATTTTTGAAAACAACACAGATAGTAACGGTTGGTATTGAACTGAAGTCATGTTTGTTATAAAAAGTATGATAATTCATTTTGAATCGACAAGCTTACATTAAAATACAAGGAACAACAATTAAGTAAAAATCATTCTCTCGTGTGAATCATTCAGTTGCACCATGCGACAACAATTCTTGACATGCAAGAAGAGATCATGAAATGGTTGTGAAAACACACTAAATCATTCGGTACATAAGAGAGAATTTATACTGTGAAAACCATTGTCCAGTAATCATTATTAAAATCTTTTTTAAAAAACGCAAGCATTCATGTTAGCCAGTTTTAACTAATTGTAAATGATTTATCTATGATAACTTGTTCTAAAAATAAAGGTTTTTCACGAATTTATGACAACAACCTAAAACGTTACTGAAAGTCATTCAAGTTTACATGGAGAATTTTCATTTATAAAAATGAAACACATAAATATCATTTGAGCCTTGGAAAATACCCAGGTACACCATCAAGTAAATACACAAATTTTGAAAATCTATCATACAATAAAAATTAGGCCGGTTAACATTAATGACTAATGTGAATAGACTGGACGCAGAAAAAAAAGTTCAGGGGAATGAAGGTGGGATGAAAGAAAGTTAAAAATCTCTTCATGACATGTAGCTAGCTAACGTAGACAACTTTTATTTTTGCGATTTATTTATTTGATTTTGAGAAGGATAAATGGTTTAATATATTAACAACAACAAGTATATTATAAACGGTAGCAAATGTATTAACTTACAGTTAGCAAGTACATTATGCATGATTGTGGTTGTAGCTTCCGCTAAAATTAACCAATGAAATTCGATTTTAGCTTTGTATAAAATTGTATAATGAGAATGCTACTGAATATATCTAATGAAACTCAGAATTGTAATACATTTCGGTATTTATACCACTTCTTTTTTCACTCTATAAACTAAATCAAACAAAGTAATTGACAAATCTCATAAAGCCCTTCTAAACAAATGACCATTAAAAACATCTTAAAATCGTCTAAAAACGGCATAAAACACGTGTTGGGCATTTTCTGCAATTGTTAAGGAGAATTTCATGAGAACATTAGCTAAATGACGTAAAATTTTTCTGAGGAAAATTACTTTTCTTAGGAACAGCTGGGGATTCATTATCCAGACATAATGGCATGGCGTTTACAACCAAAGATTCAGATAATGATAAAAAAAATGGAGGAAACTGCGCCATTCACCACAGTGGTGCTTGGTGGTATAATGCTTGTCATGAATCTAACCTGAATGGACACTACTATAGTGGAGCATACAGCAGTTGGACTGGTGTGAATTGGTATTATTGGAAAAATAACTATGAATCCTTAAAGTTTACTGAGATGAAAATAAAACCATGAAGAATTTCCAAAGACTGCGATGTTATAAATTTGATCATTATTCCTAATGAAACTTTCAACATATAATAAAAACATTTTAGCTTTTATGTCTTCTAAAAAAACCTTTATAGTCATTATCATTTAAAAAAGCGTTGAAAAATTGTTAAAAATGCTGCGGTGAAATAATATTTTCCCTAAAACTTAGAGCTGATTTAGGTAATTATGTGATTATAATGCTACGCAATTCTTTAATGAGATGTTGCTCTATAAGTAGCTAATTCTATCTTTTCGCCAAGTTTCACGCAATCTTGGTGTATCATGCATGTCATGCAATTATCTTACATCATTATTCACTATGTAAACAATGTCACTTTTGATTGGTCAACTACCTGCAAATAATTCTACATATCTGTAGGTAAGACGTCTATTTACAAATAACAGTTTGTCATTAAAAGCCGGTTTTGAAAAAAATTCAAGTCATCACCCGTGTCGCATGTTGTCAATCGTCTGATGCAAGTCTTTTCAAATTGAGAACGTCGCATGTATGTGATGTAGATCATTGAGTTCTATAATAACTGGAGCGGCTAACTTTACTGGGGCGAGGACGCCAAAAAAATGGCGGCCAACGGACGTATTTCCGCTGAAATGATCGCTTTGCAGAAAAATAATATTCTCGACTTCCCCCTGGTATCTATAGCAAATTATAAAGAATTTTTCAAAAACAAACACGATATCACAGAAGATGGATATCGTTAGTTCCATATTCTGTGACGATTCTTTTTTGGCATTTCTTTTATAATGCCAACACTTTAATCGTTCAATTGTTGGATGTCGTAGTTTCCACAAAAAGGAACATATGGCTTCTCACAGGTGAGATAGTTGCTTGTTTTGTTAGTCCGTCAACGATTGAAAAGTGATGAAAGTCAACGATTCAGTGATGAAACCTTTAAAGTTACTGTACTGTATATTTCTTCATTATTACAGTTTTCGCATTAAGAAACAGTTTGAGCTTATTTACCCATTAGAGTACAGAATGGAGATTTATCATATGCATTATTGCTGCTTTTTTAAAGAAAGGTTTCTTCACTTTTCAAAGCTTTTCTACAATTTTTTGCTTCTTATTTCTTTTCATGAGATTAATGATATAGAGGTAATATAACTTTCTAATTTCTAAAAAGCTTCTAAGCTTCAAGCATAAAAGTACACTAAGGTATTTAATTCATTTGGTTTTGTTGTCTTGCCATCACATATCTATTTGCACTTCATCATTCTTGTAGGAACAAAACACCAGATGTGGATACTCAGAGAACAAAATGCACTACCAACTGCTTATGAAATTTATTACTGAGGTGAAAACTGTGTTAATCATTCAAATTGTGCACTTATATTGCAAATATAGGAAAAACAAAGTGAAAAAGAAGGGTAGAAGTATTAAAACTACAATTGAATTATAAACACCATTGGAAGCATAAGTGTTTTGATGATTATTTGCATTTTGCCCAATTCATATATCAATAAAACAAAATCAAAATGTGCTACAACTTTACAAGTATTTGATGCAGTTGCACTTCAGAACATCACAAAAGGTTACTTAAAGGATATTGGCAACGAAAATTTTTTTTTCATACGTTTATCAAAGATAGCTATGGAATACTTAATTTCGTGTTTTCGTGTCTCTTTTGAATTTCACTGTTGAGAAAATTTGACATAAAGTTGAATCCTTATCCGCCATTTTGGAAAAAAAGGCTTATGCTAAATTATGCAGGAATACATTACTGACGTCATTGGCTGGTATCCACTGAATGACACAATATAAAATAATAGTATTATAATAATATATAGCACATTTGTTCACTGGAATTTTAAAACAAAAACAACAGTCGGCGGTTGTTAAGATTAACAAAAGTTGTGTAGTTTATCACGCTTATATACTTTTCCAATATTTAGTCGTTATAAGACGTAGAAACGTTTATTTTAGCAGATCTTACAACTAGGCTTTGCCGACATACCAAGTGTAAGCCCAGACGACAACAAGCGCGTTTTATACACTGCACATTTCGTGCAATAGAAATATTTCATTTTCCCATATTACAAACCTGTGACCAACAAATTAGTTATACGTTTAATTTATTATTTGTATACATAAGAGTCTTTGAAAGATTATGTAGTTTTATATAGGTGATAAGCTCTAAGCCGGTATATCTTGTTCTTGACTGTAGAGTTTCGTTTATCCGTAATGTTTTACGTGCGTGTTTGCGTGCACAATGTACAAGTACACTTTTCGATTAACTTTATAACTTATGAATGAATACAAGTTTTGGGTGGATCACTCATGCATTTTGCTTTTGCGCAGTTCGTGACAATGATATGGCATCGCAATCGCAGATCATAACAAAGAACATGAAAGAGCGTATGTCTAAGACTAAATTTACGGTCTTTCGTGATAACATGCGTATTTAAAATGTGTATAAAGTCCGTCTGGTGACGCGAAGCGTTTTCGCATGCTAGCATAAACACAAGCAGGAAATGGTCTTCGATGTTTCTTCCCCAAAATTTGAAAAATTTTGCGACTATCGATACAGCTTGTGTATTCTCTCTAGATCCTCTTCAGACAGGGGCCAGTTTTCTTCAAGATGCCGACACACATCTATCTTTAACACACTTTCTCAGAGCATATTGTCCCTAAATTCTTGGTGTGTTGTCAAGCAATTTATCCTTGAGTTTCAGTTTGGCCTAGCAAAGCCTCATACTCATCGTATTCAAGTGCTTTTTCGTGGCAACAAAAACACTCGATTGATTGCCTTTTTTGACAAAGTACAATGTCCACACTTACACCAACTAAGAGTTTGAAGGCGCCAAGCATTTGCTTTATCAAATTCAGCATGTATTTCATCCTCCGACGAGGACAAGTCGCTCTGCTCACTCTCCTGTTCGGAACCGCTTTCTTCGCTTGTTTCGGCCTTCACTTCAGGTTCATATTGATAGGGCAGAACCTGACCCGGTTGATTTTCGTGTATGTCATCCATTGCAGCAAAAAAATCCCGTAAAATACGCTTTAAATGTGTTGTAACGCAGTCAATCACAAAGTATATTGTATTGTTATTTTGACTGCTCACCAGCCAATGACGTCACTACCGCTCGAGATAATTTTTCAAAATTTTATCCAAGATGGCGCAATTTATAAAACTTTGCTGCAAATATCTCAGCAAAAAATATTTTGAGAAAAAATTTTTCTATTTTAGTTGTTAGACATCACAAAGGTTCAAAAATATGCCATAAAAATTTTCGTTGCCAATGTCCTTTAAAGTAATTTCTATACATTATTGTTTGTTTTCATTTACCAACCCTATGCAGACTTGAGTCTTTTTGAAATTTAATATGAAACTCAATTACAGAAAATCCGTAAGTATCCAGAGATTTAATATTTACTTTTTAAAGAAACAAGTAAAATCCTAATTGTATGAAAAGCCATTGCCCATTGCATGAAAAGAAGCAAAATAGCAATGATAACCTCTCTCGTGAACCGTGGAAATGAACTATGATATACTTTTGTATAGACTAAAGAGTTTAATCGATCAAACAAGTTTGATGCTGGTAAAAGAACGACCCACATCTGCATTCATTCATGTGTAGCCGACATATATTATAGCTCTTTCGTCGATAGTTTTAAATGCATCCTCGTAAGAGCAGATAACTGACAACCACAGTTGAATCGCTGTTTAAGGTTTTTACCTTGATTTTCATCAAAAAATTGCTTGCCGAATCCCAAATACACACATACATTTTCCTCACTCTTGCCTCAGGAGGGTGTGGGAAATTGTGAAATTTTCGTAAAAGCGGTCAATTTCGGTAAATCTCAGCGGCAACGGACGAAATCCGCCATTTTTTTGGCGTCATGAGATATCTAAGGCCGCGTTTGAGATAGCCGCTCCAGTTATTATAGAACCTCTAAGCGTTCTAATTGACGCCATATGGACTTGCCACTTGCAAAAAGATATCTTGAAGTCTTATAACGATCAGGGAATGAATACAACCTCAAAGGAGAAACATGAAACAATACAAAAGGCAGCTGATGAGACAGGAACTACATTTGAAAAAGTTAAAGTGAGTGAGTAATTCTACCTACTTTTTACTTGGAAGGGCAGGCTACTGCAGTACTCTCAGAATTGTACGCACTAAAATGTCGTATCCAAATCTGTGACCATAACCTATTTCTAGTTTGAAGTATTAGCATACATATATTTTTGTTAAAGGTATTCTTGCCAATGAAGTGCCAGGCGGGAAGCGGATTCTCAGTATAAATATTAGAGCCCAACAAATAATTTTAAAAATCGTCATAAACAATTTGGTTTTATGAAAGGTACTGAAATTTGTCATCATGCAGTAAATGTAGTATTTGCGTAACATTTCCTATATAGGTGGAGGTTTGCACGTAAGTATTTCTCCAGATAGTTTCAGACGCTTCCTTAACACCTTATATGACAGATTAATAAAACGCACTCAAGATCCTTTGCATGGTTACTACTGCGGATGGGATTTACTTTATAGAGATTTGATTCTATAAAATTTAAACACAAAATCCTTCTTGCAAACTTACAAGAAATCTTCGCAAAGAGTTACGCTCCTTTACGTTTGTTCACAATGTTTTGATGTGCAAACGCATTAACACATTATTGCTGACTAACATCTGTTCTAAACAAATCCACATGGAAAGAACTTAGTGCAAAAGACCATGCATTTACAGAAATGTTTGTAAAGACATAACGAACACTATATGCAAAAAGGTGATGAAGTGGTGGTGCACATTTCTAACATTGTTCGATGTAGAATGTTCCTTATAAGATATGGTATTTTAAAAATAGCAAATGGTGTTTAGGATACATTACCACGGTACGACAATACAACAAAGAAAAAATCCAAATTCAGTCACTTGATGCAAATCTAACGGTAAACAACACTATTTTACTGTACATCTACTTACGAGATAACCAAAATTGATCGAGGATTTATAACTTTGAAGAATTGAAAACATCGCCCAAAAGAAATGAGAAAGAAGAGACGATCTATAGAAGAAAAGGAAAACAAAGCTGAATGATGTTGTTTTAGAATTTTTTTAAAACATACGTAAAATTAAAACATTTATTCGCAGAAAGACAAAACCGACACCAATATGTAAGCACTTGCGTACAATGGCTAAAAGACTACTTGAACAGGCGATGTGATAAATAAGATAATTGCTTTCAAAAGTTATGTATTAATAGCATCAAATATAACTTGAAAAGCCCTAGGTACACCTAAAACAGACCTAAATGGTGTCAGTAAACTCTAAATTGACTTAACTGAACCTTAAATAAACGAGAACTACGTCAGCGAATCAGTCAAGGCATACGTACCCATAGAAACCTAAAAAAGAATTTTAAAAATTTATCTTGCGGTATATTAATATCAGAGGACGATTGTTATAAAATTTACCTGTCAGCTTG